TCGTAAATTTTTTCTAACAAAGCAAGAAAATTGTTTAATTTTCTCTTCAAAATTTTACACAATTTGATGTGTTTATTATTGCAACAATTCTTATTTCCATGAAATCTACAAAACATATACAAAATTTGTATTCCTTTGGATCTTGTTTCTATCAATACTCTTCATCTGGAAATCTTCTGTTACCCTTAAGACCTGTCTTTAAGTCTTTGTATATTTTCATTGATTTTCGATTCCAGATTTTCGTCCGTGTTTAGTGATATTCCCAGCCCAGGTACTTGAATTCATCCACCTGTTAATTTTGAGATGATTGTTCATTAATCTTGTGCTTTGTTCCTACTATTTATCGTCTCGCTTCTGCCATACTGCTAATATCTACATGAACTCCATCTATCCCTCTCAGACCTTGTAAAACGTTGTGATTTTTAAATAGGTTTTAACATATCATATAAGGTGGATGAAGTAGAAGAATTATGTTAAAAAAATATCTGTTAATGGAGACACTTTTTTAATTGTTAAGTGATTAATTATTCACAGAAGGAAAACATATCAGCTGCTTATTGTTTATTTTCCAAAAGCAAAATAACACACATCCTTTGTTTGGATCCGCCCTTTAACAACAAACACAATACAAAATTTGTTTCATGAGCCAGTAATTCTCACAGGTCGATTCCTTTAGGTATATTAAAATTACCTCAAATAAATTTAATATACAAATTACTAAAAGTAACAGACCACAATTTCATACAAAAAAAAAAAAATTAAAATAACTTACGGTTATTGGCGTGGGTAATATTCTCTTCTAGTAATAATTGATATAATCTCCTTGGCGGTTCCTTTGGAAATATAGGTAGTTGACTTTTATTATTGTGATGAATGCAAAATTTGGTGGAAGAAAAGTTGGCATGAATCGCAAACCGGCTGTACTTTGCGGGTCGCGAGCAATATGCACCTTTTTTATTAACTTTAAATTCCCTGTCGTATGTCGTTGTATACAACATTTTTATTTATCGTACACACAATGAGTTTAATGTAAGTTTATTTGATCCAGTTTTTTACTTGAAAAGCGGTTCCCCGACTCCAAAATGTTCCTACGTGTATATTTTACCACTCTTAAATAAAAGGCTGCAAAATTGATATTTCAATTAAATGTTTGTCTTACATGTCTGGAGTACAGGCAAACGACAAACC